TGTACTTAAGTACAGTAACTGCCTGTACCACAGCATGATGCTGCCACCACCATGTTTCATGGCTTGTAATTATTTCACTCTAAATGTATCTAGTAAATAAATACAGAATGACATCATCATGTGCATTTTTGAATGGACTTATTTTTTAATTTCAAACGTTATATTTAAATAGTTAATGAAATATTAATTTATTTTATAACATAATATTCACATTTAATTATCTCATTTAGTTTTTTTGCTATTTTGGTGCTCCATATAGCCCAGGAATCGCATCATGATGAATGTATGAATCATCTTTAGACCCCGACGTGGCGCCTCACGGCCCCAGCGGGGTCCCGACCCCCACTTTGAGAACCCCCTCTAAAGAACCTCTGAACTGGAACTGGATTATCCTTCAGGGTATCAGAGGAAAATGCTTTTTAGATTTTTAGCTGTAAAAATGTTTCACAATAATAAACCACAAAATCGAGATGAAACAACGAAGGAAATGTTCAACAGGGAGCGAATAACGGGAGTTTCTGACTCGTCTGGTTTTCCTCCGGATGAATCATCCTCATCTTAGCTGCAGCAGGAATCTGCAGCTGATCCAACATTACAGAAACTCCTGGCGGATCTCCTGCGCGTCACGCCCAGAGCGCAGAGATCTCTAACTAGGTCACCGATCAGGAGCGGAACATGAAGTTTACCAAACCCAAAACTTTCTGAAAGCCTCCTGAACTCCGACTTGTTTTTCCAGAAGAAGCCGCATAAAGACGCGCTGGATGACTTCCTACCTTTATCAGAATGGTTTTCACCTGCCGCGGGACTCTGCGCGGCTCCTGCAGACACAAACACTCAGAATGAGAAGTTCATCACGGAGCTGCACACTGCGCTGCAGCAGCTCCTCTTACCAGGTCCAGGTCAAAATCTCCCCAGTCTGGATCCGGATCCTCCTGCAGCCGAAAGCCCGGGCTGCAGCTGAGCAGCAGAACCAGCAGCAGCAGCATCTTATCTGCAGGTCAGCCTGTTAGAAGCAGGAATGCGCCATGACTCCCAGTGTTCCCAGTCCGGCTCTGACTGAGCGCAGAGTCTGCAGCGGGAGAAATCCGCCCACCAGGAGGAAGATGAAGCTGCTGCTGGTTTCTGCTCTTCTCCTCCTGATGAAGGAAACATTCAGAAACCCGGAACCTCCTCCAGAAACACCTAAATCTGCGTTTCTCCTCTTTTAAAGACCCGAATCCTCTGAATGGGCCACTTTTCTCCACCAGGGGGCAGAAGATTTAGAAACAAGTTTAAATCTAGTCTCTCTGGTTCTGAGTCGGTTCGGGTTTGTTCTGGATTTTAAGCCCGGATATTGAATGTTTGGGTCACATTGTTACATTCTGACCTCCATTTATCAGTTTATTATTTGGTGTTACGTTTATGAATTATTCAGACAATTACTGATTAATTTTATTGAATACCTGGAAACTTCCGGATTGTTCTGGTGGTTCTGATCCGTGTTTAATTCTGGTTCCGTGTTGAGATAATCTTCCCAAATATTAAACCTGATATAGAAAAAATATGATTAATAATAAAAATAAGACCCCAGTTCAAACCTGTGTACGTAGGAGTCGCCCCCTGTTGGTAGATGTAGTTTAATGCATGATGCTGTGAGCTGAAGTCATATTTCTTATTTGTAAACATAAATTCTGGTGCAAATATGTTGATACTCCGGAAATGAGATAAAACAACAGAAACTTATTTTAAGCAGTTAAATATTTTAATATTTAAGTACTTTCACTGGCAGATTATTTTACTTATGGGAAAATGTCTTGTTATAAGTGAAATAATTATTTACTTAAGCTCCAGTATTTTGCTGTAAAGCTACGTGTAAGTTAGTTTTGTCTATTTTTAGGTGTAATAAAATATTTGCATTGAAATCTAGATAAAAGTCTTTGTTCAGATTTCCTGCTTTTACAGCGTAAAGATTTAGATTCTGAATTGAGACTTCCATGAGCCTCTGTCGACATCTTGTGGTCAAAATGAAACATTACACCTGTGTGTTAGAGAGGGAGCCGTTCGTCCTGCGCCTCCAGGTCAGGGGTCAAAGTTTGCTTCCCCTCTGTGTTCCTACATGCAGCTCAGTAAATATTGACCGGGTTGGAGTCGATGGGATCAGTTTGGTGGATTTTAACCTCTCAGCTCGCTGCCGTTCCTCACTGCTCTTGTTTTATTCTTTATAGTTTTGTGTAGAAATATGAGTGTGTGAACCTGAGGAGCGTGGAACCATGAGGCGTCCGCTGCTGCTCGCTCTGGGGCTGCTGCTCCTTCATCACAGCTGCTGCTTTGAGTTTGTAATAAACGGAGACTGGGAGGACGAGGAGGTGAGGCTGCACAGGAATTTATTATAAATTAATTAATTTATTTCAAACAGAGAAAACCAAGATCAAAACAATGAGCTTATTTTCCTGTTTAAAACCTGGGGATCACAGTAAGCAGACTGTTAATTTAATATATATACATAAACATTTACATGACCTGTCAAATAAAATATCCACGTTGTTTATTAATACAAAACGCAGGAGAGGATGAGACATCATGCTCAGATTGGCTTAAATATCGTTTCTTACAATGTTTAACACATTTCAGCATCACAGCAGATCATAAAAATACAACAACAAAAAAACATCAAACAGTCAGAAGTGAAGAAACCAGAAACAAACATTTCATTGAGAGACATCATCAATAATCATTAATATATTGATCAATGTTTCATTGATTATGGTTTAAATCACCTCCAGCAAGATGTGGTTAGAGGTTTGAACCCAAACCTGACAATAAAATCTGGATTTAAAGAACTCAGGGTTTCGGCTGTTTCTCAGTTTCCTGGAAGTTTATTCCAGATCTGAGGTCATAGAAGCTGAATGCTGGTTGGTTCTGGTTCTGATGCAGAGCAGAAGGTGTAGATCTGGGTGGTGTAGAACCGGGTGATATAGAACTATATGATATAGAACCAGGTGGTGTAGATCTGGGTGGTGTAGAACAATGTGGTGTAGAACCGGGTGGTGTAGAACTGGGTGGTATAGAACAATGTGGTGTAGAACCAGGTGGTGTAGAACCGGTGGTGTAGATCTGGGTGGTGTAGAACCGGGTGGTGTAGAACTGGGTGGTGTAGAACCGGGTGGTGTAGAACCAGGTGGAGTAGAACCAGGAGGTGTAGAACTGGGTGGTGT